TAAAGATGAACCAACTTCAACTTCTAGCTACAATAATTCTAACATAGGTAGAAGTGTGTTTAGCTTGAAACACGGTTCAAATAAAAAGTAGACTTATTAAAGACTTGACTTTAATAAGTTAGTCTTACTTTAATAAGTAATAACTCGTACCAATAGCAAATAGTTATAAGTTACGCAATTTTCTTCACAACAATGCCCTTGATAATAATTAGGTAACAGCTGACTTGACAATAACACTGTATACAATTAAACAAGGAAGTAGACTATAATGTAAACAATCTTCTATTGAGCAAATTAAACTGGAAATGTAAACTTTTACAAGCTTTGTATATAAATTAGAAGTACAATCAACTTTTGTGAAAAGGTTATTTGGTGTTCAAACGTTGCATAACGTAAAAAGCAATGGCATAAATCTAGTTTGTTTTTATACATCGAATAGGATAATTATTTTATTTCCAAGTTTTTTTTTATAGAATGTATGTTCAAAATCAGGTTTGTAAACGTTTCGTGCTCTGAATATATACTAATATGTATAAATAACATTTTAGAATACTTCAATTTGATATTGTCTCAAAGCTATTTAGCTTAAAAGGTATGTTAACCTTCATTTCCATTGATTTTCATAAATAAATTATTTGTTTAAGCATGTGATTTTTAAAAAATCACGATAGTGAAAATAAACTTTAACCGGCCACGGCCTTAAAATTGCGTTACAGACACTCTCCTATCTACATTATTTGGCACTGGTCTTGAATATTTTTATTTCATAATTTGTCAAGAAAGTTTAGTATTATGGAGCCACAAATTGAAAATAATTTTTGGGCTGGTTTTTAAACGCATGAAATATATTACTATGCACGTAATTTATTTTATTTTATTTAAATATTTTCGTGATTTTGAAACAATGTGGAATAAATAATAATTAAATAAACTTTCAGTTCACATAATTATGTTCTTAAGTACTAAAACAATGCATCTATACTTTTATCAATTTACTTGAATTTAAACCTAATTTTAAGCATGACATACTCAAAACCAAGAACGGTTCCTTAAGTTTTTACCACCGGTGCCAAATCACTAATACTTTAATACTTTACTTTAATAATTTTCAATTAAATGGCAACCATACAAAGTAGGTATTTAAAGCCAAGTATGAATGGAGATGAGTGTAGCATGAGCGATCTTGTAGTCTTGTTAGTGACTAAGGCCGACTTATTCCTTAGACACAGCTGTTAATTAATAGCCCATACAGCAAATGGCAACTAAGGGACCTACAGTTTATAGTGGAATCCGAACCACATTTTTTCCTTGGTATATACGAAATGGTCTAATTTCAGGGTACTACTGCGGATAGTCGTAGTACTCACTCGTGCGGACGTTAATCCACACAAGGGAGTATCGCATCCACAGTGCATGCCTATAAATATCCACAATTCGTAACCTCCTAGTAGCTGGATTACAGGACGATGCCACCCGTTCCAGTTATAAAATAATACTAGTGTACATGTTGCTCGAATTCGAGCAATTGCGAAGTATTACAGGAGTTATTTTAAAACGAATAACAGTCATATTTACAATGAGTTTAAAAGAGTCAACTCAAAGATTACCAGTGTGTAACTCAGATCATATTTATCTTCGTTGTTGATAAACCTAAAGCATTCCGGCCGATTTTCTCCTTCTCAAAGTGCCTCGTTGTACAGGCAATACAGGTCATTGATAGAGGGCCAATTGAGAACGAAAAGTCGTTTTGGGGTAGTGTTAGGGGCGCATTTGTAACTTAATAGTTGAGATTGTCCAGGGTCAGGTGCTGACTGTGATGAGTAAGCTTACCATCGATGTATAATAACGCCCTTTACGCGCCACTGTTCTGTAGCTGCGGTCGTTATCACGATTACGCCTCTTGTCTATGTTTCGTTTTCGTCGCGTCGGAGGCATTTAAAAGGAAATACAACAAATAAACAAATTATAGCTATACAAAACAACGATAAATGCACAAATTTAAGTTACAATCATGCTAACTCGATCCGTCATAAAACTTTTGCAGTTTCCCACTTTTATACACTCGTTTTGGCTTCCCCACTTCGAACCGTAAACTTGTATCTGCAATAAACCGCAGTCCTTGTCAGACAAACCTCGTTTATATGAGGTATAACATACAAGGTGGGCGAGCTCAGCTGTAAAACCTGGCCGCTACCTTGGGATGCCAAATTTGGCCAATACAAGGTTTACTCTTTTCGGGAAGTTTATAAGATATGATCGCGAATCTTAAATATGCACTCAGTAAGCTGTGATGTTATAAATGTAAATATATATTTTTCCTCGGACGCTTGGCTCTAGCCCGGGATTTTGTTCACATTACTTCAAGATAGACCTAGGGGTTGCGGCATTAGTTAGATAAAATATATTGGATTGGGAGGATTTGAACCCGGCACATCAAAGAACAAAGTATCGTGCTCTACCACTGGGTTCAGTCACATTAGACCTTCGTTCATAAAAATATCACATTACAGAAAAAGACGTAATAAACGTCATGCATAAAACTAATTTTTTACATTAAAAGTATTTTATATAGTCCGTTTTACAAAATATACATTCCAAATTATTTTATGATTAAATATTTGTGTATAACATATATCATCAAACAGGATGGTTTCCAAAACTAATTTTATCAAATTTTAACTAAGCTTATTGAGTTTATGAGTATGTATGGAATATTTCCTTATAATTTTGCAAGTGGAGTTTTATCTTATGAATGTGAATTTCTACGGCTGGAGTCATACAGAGGACGTCTTTACATTTTTTTTTTTTTGAGTACGAATGTATATGTGTGAAATTTTGTATTTTGAGTGTGTATGCATATTTTTATGTGTAGTTAAATCTTATAAATTTCTATATGCAATGAAATCTTATGAATGAAGTTTTGTCAAAACATATAAACGTGTATTTATGTAATTTCTTTTTAAATAGGAAGTAGGCTAAGGGTGGTAAAGATTTGTGTTCAAAAACTGTTTAAAAACTGGAATTATTTTGAGCAATAAAATTGTTGTTAAGGGAGCATTCCTACAACGAAAGATCATAACAACTTGATGAATGAAAAGGAGTCCATTGCACCTTGTAAAGCAATCGATCTTGGCGTTAAAGACATCAAATTTAACCTAAACTTGCTATTCCCTCATTGTTTAAATAATACAAATTGAAAGAAAACATATAAATTCATAGAAAATCAACCCGAAGCTTTAATGTTCAAACAAAACGTGTCTACTTTTTTCAACACATCTCTTTCTTAGTGTTTACAATTGCTTGCTCAAGCTGAGGATTAAAATGAGCTAGTTAAACATACAATCATGCAAATATAGTTCAGATTATTCTTGAGGGAGAGAGGGTACCATAGTTAACCTTGGACAGGGAAATCGAGCAATTAAATGAGGCCTATGATTAGTTTGAGCGGAATCATTGAGTGCGTAGTCAACAATGAATAAACAATGAATACTCATCAGTAGTCGGATGTCAGCAGTCCCGTGACAAGGCTCATGTATGGTTAGTAACCAGGAAGAACATATTGAGCTATGTACTGTTTGAAAAACGATTGACTTTGCGTTTACTTGGAGCTAAAATTAAATTGTTGGTTCCTTGAACAATATTATCAATATATTGTTGTAGTCTTGTTATACGACTTTTTTATCCTATTGTTAGAACTCTGTTCTGTCCGTTTAGGTTGAGTCACATTGGAGCGAGTTGAAGTAAAAGACGGCAAATCTTTCTGTGTGTTGTACTATATGTCACACCAGCGGCGGGGACAAACACACTTATCAAACCAAATATTTAATTAGTTATGACTATATTTAAAAGTGACATGGACGTCAACAAATTAGTTTTAACGTTGAACATGATCCACATACACAGAACAAGTTTAGCCATTGTATTAATTTGTTTCAACTAATAAAATTTACGAAATCGCCAAACGATTAGTTGGCCAATGACAAAACAAAATAAGAAGATTTCTTTGCTTTGAGAGTAAAATCTAAGATTTTGAAGTGTAATTTATATAAAAAATGTAGTGCTTTGAATAAGGTTGTATTTAAACGCATTTCACGCTAAACCGAACATATTCGTATAAATTGTTCTTCTGTAAATCACGAGGACCCTCAACAACTAAAGAAGAATTAATCTCAGCAGTCATCAAATGCAAGGGTTTCTTAAAATATATATTTAAATTTAATGAAAAGACTAATGTAGCTTTTCGGCACTTACTTGTGTAAACTAACAGAGAATCTTCATTAAATCGTTGATCATGACCCGTGAATCAGAGATTGTACACCAGATGCAATGACCATTGTCTATCTACATTATACGTAACAAAAAACTGACAAAGGCCACTCGGTATACCACCAGAATGTGGGACACACAATCTCCAAGAGATAACAGATAACAAAGGTCGTCTTGGACTTCCCAGACTGTAGCAGGCACCGAATAAATTTGTATCTCATTTTTCTTGGGGAGATCCACCTTCATAATGTTGTATTATGAAAATTGTAGGTAATTTCCATCGGGGAATTAATTGAATTATGATAAGAGCGTCGCGAATGGTTTAGTGTAAATAGAATTCCCATTTCTTTAAATATTAAAAACAAATGTTTACAGATAATACTGCTTAAATTCTTCATTTTGTTAGCCTCCAGATCACTGGTATAAATAGTGGCTTAAATATCATATACAATACTGTCAAAAGAATCCTTTGTAGTCTACATAGGCTACTGTAGTTTCGTTCCCGAAGGAACTTCATCAGGTTCGTCTTTCCGTTTGTGTAATTAAATGTGTGACATCGATGGATAACTTCAACGACTTCCTCTGGAAGGAAATTTGATGTCCTTGACAGCCTTATGAAGTTCCCATCGGGAACGAAACTACAGTATTCATATAGACTACAAAGGATCACTTTGACAGTATAAGATATTTAAACCATTATTGCTTAAATTCTATTGGATTCAAAAGCTACTTACTCTTGCTGTAAAGAAAGCCGGTGTTGACAGTGAGGCGGACATCCTCGAAGATAACATCCACGGGTTTGCTACGGGGGAGGTGCATCATTTTAGTATTGCAGCGCACTATTTGCACCTTGGCATCAGCGGAAGGAAGGAAACCTGCGTCAGCGTCGCCGGCCATCTTGAAGGAAGATCTTGCACAGTTCACAACTTCAGCAACGCCTTCACCTTACCATCGTCTCACTCTGCAAGGAGAAAAAAAGGTTTTGAGTTAGCGTCGTCTTCAATTTCATATTTATTCATGTTGAAGCCTTTGACTGAGGAATTTTGGACGTCAAGGTACGTAACCTGTTATAATTTCATAGTTGAAAAGTACACCGAATGCTGGGAAAAGATTATAATGAACACTTTCGCTAATTCAGCAATGGCTGTATGTTGAGCTGTTCTACTAACATTTTCTTGTTTACTAATAAACCTTCATTTTCCTATAGTCACATGACAAAGTGGGCTTCCTCGCACTGATTATAGCATAGAAAGTTGTTATTTGCCGCACTCTCTTTTTGCTGCACACCAGTATTCGAACCAAAAAACACGGGTAATCTGTGTGCTCTTAGAAATAGGTTGGCAACACTTAAACATACTACGACTACGATCAGCTGGTGCAGTTGTTTCCCATTTCGTTCAACGCTCGGATTTAACCTAACCTAAAAACGTGTAGTTTACTGTTTGAAAGACTAATTATTTCTATGCATTAAACTGTAGGAAAAATGTAATGTGTAACGTAAATTGCAAACTGCACCCTAGTTACACAAATAACTATTTTCTAGCTGAAAATTCGGTTGCCAATTGAAAGAGATAATTGATTCCATGAATAAAATTATTGAAAATCAACTAATATTTGGTGGAGCTTCTTTTTTTAAAAACTGAAAATATTACGTCTGAAATAATCCCGTAAATAAGTTTCCTCAAGGTTATTTTTCTATAATACTGCAGTATTACATTCTACTATACAGCTTTGTATATCATTGAGTATATACGTACATGTATATACTGTATTAGCCTGGTCAATTGGTTAGTTGGTCAAATGGTCAATTGTAGTAGCCTTAATAGTTACCATTGAGTATAAACGTACGTACCATCACAAAAATTAATGCCAATCAACGTATAAACGCTACTAAACATGTATAAACCCCTTGCATTTGAAATATATAGGAACTAAAATGTTAAAAATGAAATTGAATTGTAGCTATTATTTCTTAACTATAAGAAAAATCACTCTTAATTGTTTAGTAAATTTATTGTACATATTGGGGGAAACTTGCTCCCTACCAGTAGTTAGTTTCTAAAACTAAAAAGATAAGTATTTACAAATTTTAGACTCAGAATAAAATAATACCAATTGCAAACTTCCACTTTAAGTCGGGTTCATTACAAAAAGATAACTGTATTCTCGAGGTTTACTTTAAGGTCATTGTCCCTTGCTTTTAAAGATACATTGTATAACAGAGATAACTTTAGCGGTCAATAAATTCGAACTGATATAATTTCTTATTGACATTTGATCGCAAAAAGTTTATTGATTTGATTCACAAATTTGTAACATGTAATCTAGGTAAAAATGTGATACTTTGTACTCCATCAGTAAACGTTACAATTTTGAGATTAGGTGATGGTATAAATGTTTGACAATTTATTTGTTCCTATTGTTTAAGTGCAGGTGTACATTATGGCTATGGTAGATGTGTTATACTATAATCATACCGTAAATTTAAAGAACCAAATTATATCAAACTGTGCCCCCCCCCCCCATTGTAAACGCAAAGCTTGGGTATAACTGAAATAAGCATTTTATACTTATGCCAACCCCGTACGAAGGACGGGTGCTCTGCTAGTAAGGTAATAAATTGAAAGAATAACAAACAAATAAGTACAGCTGAGGTATATAACATTAGGTACGTGGAAAGTTCCCTTTATAGATAAATTACGGCCTTAAAGATAAGTCAAAATAACATTTTCAGCAAATATTCTGAAAGACAAAAACTTACCTTTGTAATAAACTACAGAACAAAAAACCACAAACTACAAAGAAGACCGTACCGTACACTTTTACTATCATTGCAGCACTGGCATGAAGATAAGTTTTATCTAATGCTGATGTTTCCTTGTTTACCAACCAATCTTAACTTTCCGATGTTCTAGCTGGAAAAATACGGATTTTCAAATCACACCCGTTAAAACGTTTTATCGATCACTAGTGACGTAATTTTATTAAATTAATTTTTGGAATAATTATATTAACTTTTGGAACATATCTGTAAGTGAAATCACAAAATAAAGAATTGAAAATCAGGCGAAGCGTTTACTAACAACATTTTAGCGGAGAAACATTTGTTATCCATGATGAACGGACATGTTCTTTTATTTAAAATTTTGTATGGGATACCTCAGGAAGGATTCAGAACCAGTAGTCCTTGGTAATATCTTATGGACGAAACCCATTTTGGATTACTACATTTTGTACTAAACCATCATTGTCAAACTTAATAACAACTGTTAATTTTAGAAAAATCTTGTTTAACTATTATAAGATTGCTCTAGTTAATTTGGAAACATTAATGGGCATAACATTTTGTAATTTATTTGTGTTTTGAAACAATGCTGTTTTAGATTATACTTATATTAGGCGGCGTGTGAATAGTAATCTAAAAGATATTAAGTTTCTATAATGGAACAAAGACATCGTCTGATTTCTATATCAAGGAGGCAAACACAATTATAAACTAGTTTGATATCATCACAACACGACGTATCCTGGAATAACGACAAATAAGTAAATTTGTAACACTAGAATTGTACATCTATCTATTCTATCTTAACTATTATAAAATTGAGGCAGTGTCTGTCTGTCTGGGCAGCTGTCACGACTAAAATACTTAACCGATACACCCAAAATTAAACACAAAGATTATCCACATATCTAGGAATGTCGTAGGCCTATTCGCTTCCCTGAGTTCCCCTCGGGCTACGCCCCTTGGGTGTCCAAAGTTTTGAGGTGAGGTTAATTGGTAATTATCAATTGGTCTCCATATAAGCATGAGAAAATTCACAATGTTTACCTTTGCGTTGACATTTAAATGTAAACAATCAGAACTGCCCAATGCTCATTTCACAATTTAAGACAGCTGATCCAAAAAAATTAAATATATTTTACACAACTATGTGGTAGGATTATTTAATCTAAAACTTTAAGATGTATTATTTATTCTAAATCTATTTCAACGATGATGAAACTGATTTCTCTTCCGTTGCGAAGTATGGGTACAGCAGCTAGTTTTGACTCGTAATACACGAAATATGATTGTATCAATCCAAATTTCATCCCATATTATTTGGTACGAAATTGTAAATATACCAGTTTTTCTGAGACAAATTTTAAAAAATCGAAGAGCTCCATGAAACTTTCTTCCATGCCTAGTTTTTATGCAAATAACCAACCAATAACAATAACTTGAAGTCACGTCAAATTTTAAATGTGGTTCTTGTAGAAACAAACACAAAATGTAGATAAAAACACGTATATTACCAGTCGAAAAAATCTTTCATATGCGCATGAATTGTATGAATAGTATTGAGTAGTATGGCTAACAGGCCTACATGTTTTGACTGTTTTCAAAAATAATTCATATGGGTTTTAAGTTTTTGTCATTATTTGTCTCCTTATCAATAAAAAATCTATTGACGTGAGTCTACTTTATTAATAAATACTCTACTGTGTGCTTCAGTCTGCTAAGAACCTATTTTAATAAGATTTTTAGTTTATAATTATAGTTAACCACGTCTGCAAAGATGTACTATTGAATCTCTATGCTCTAAAACAATCAGCTGTAAGACAAAATCTACTAGAAAACTTATATTGAAAGACAAATCAAATTACACAAATCCATTTTACATTTTTAAGTTTTATTTTTGTTACGTCTGAAACAAAGTTGTTAGTTTACAACAAACTGTTATTTTCCCAATAAGTTCACACTTAAACATTTTTCACGTTAGATTTGTTTACAGGGTAATAGCTTACAGGCCTACATACACTTTCGTTTCATACTTTTAAACCCATCGTTTTACAATAGTTTATACTTAAAAATCAACATTAACAAAAATAGTGTCAAAATAAATAACAAAATTTTCGATTAGCTGTTTTACAAACTAAAACATAACATATGTACAAAATATTTAACTAACATATAAAACGTTTATTTCAAGTTTAACCCAAGAGATATCTGTCACGGGTCGTTTACATATAAAGTCCGAAAGGCAAACAGTCGTACGTTTTGTAATCCTGCAGATTTAGTGTCAATAAGATTGTACTGGTAAATCGAAATCAAATAATAGAACTAATATTTATTTTATTTTGTGGCCTGTTTGTACCTCAATAGTCACCTTATTATGAAGTTTTTATTTAAATAAGATTTCTATAGAAAAACTCATGCACCGATATTTACTGTAGGCAAATAGATATGCCAATGTACTGTATTGATTATAATACATAATTATAGCACCACGAAATGGATGTAAAAACAACTAACTCTACTGCATATCACACAATAAATCATAAAAATTTGTTTTTCTCCTGCTTATTAACAAATTAATACTTTATCAATTTCCTAAAAAATATAAAGTCTAAATTCCATCCTAAAAATTAGCATAAGCCTACACATACAGATGCAAATCCACCTAAGGATTTCCAAGCAACAATTTAAACTTTAAAGAAAAAAAATCGAATTTTTCCCTCCTACTGTATTTAAAAAAATACACACAAGTATTTACGTACAGGACCTACCTGACCGATGTCCAAGCAAGTAATTCAAATAAATTTCCTACAAACCACGAAAAAATATTTTTCCACCTACTTACTGTATACAACTAAATATACACAAGTATAAACAGCTGTTTAACCCACCTGACAAATGTGAGCACCGTGTCCGCGTTACACTAACGGCTTCGGCTTGTCCGCGGACTGAGTATTCATTGACTGAACAACGACACCAGAGTCACGGTCAACGATGATCCCCTCTCCTAGCGAACAGCTGATCTAGGAGGCTGTGGTTAATTACCCGCCAAAACAACAGCCGGTACAGGTTTCGGCGGGTATTTCTTTGCAGTGACAAATCTGTGTTTACGCAATGTCAAATTTTAGTGTTTTTTGCTCAATTCAAATAGGAAATCGTGTATCAGGAATGGGAATTATTTAAATGTGACCGTAATAATCAGGAAATTGTAGTATTACTTTAGGATGAAGACTTTTTGGATTGTTTGGTTTATTTGTGGCTTGTGTTGGCATATTGTATAATTTGTTTTTGTTGGATATGTGCACAAGTTATAAGATGAAAGGGGACATGCAATTAGAATTAGCTATATAAATCCTGGGCAGTAAAAGATATCTATTTCTCGAATTTCGGTTGTTTAGTTACCATACATCTAATGATCAACCCATATTAATGTTAAAACGAGTATTATTTCTTCCTTTAGTTACCATTAATGATTTTCCATTATTGTTATTTGTATGTGTCTTTTATGTTTATATATATATTGCGTAGTATTGGCAGAAGAATAAAATGAAATAGCAAGAGCAGAATATTTACCTGACCAAGATTAGAAAGTAATTTCCGCTTTGCTTAAAAATTGTTGCTTTGAAATCATTAGGGGCACGAATCGCTGCATATGTTGTGAAGTCGTCATGATGCGGATAGCAAACCGTTAGACCAAAGGTCATCTGGTCCACGTCAGATGTGTAAATATTTAAATACCTTAATATCGTGTGGTAGAGATTATAAATTGATCTGTTTCTTTGTGAAGTTTTTATGTAACACAGAATTTAGTATAAACTTCCCGAACGGAACAATTTTTTACGTTATTTGGAACTATGAACTCCAGAATCAACAATGTCAATTTTAAAACAGATTATACAAGATCTTTTTATCTATTACGAAAAATTTGTTTCAAAATATGGCAAAGCATTTAGCTGTACATTATTTGCACATTTCTTTCCTAATAGTATACATACAATACTTTTTCACTAGCTATATCACTTGCTACATCGCCTACTCGATCGGTCACTCAATCAATACTTACTTTAATCACTTAATAGACTATTTGCTCAAATAACTCACTCACTTAATTAAAGTAAAGACATAGGAAAACAATTTTAGCAGCTAGCCCTAAAGGTAAAAATTTACAAAATGTATGTGTTTTTAATAAGTACCGGTAGTTTTAATTTGAAGTAGGGCCAACAGTAAATAAATTGTTTTGGCAGAATAGTACATTTAAAATCTTAATAACGGCTACATTTTATTTGTAAAAATTTCATAGAAAAACAATTGTAGCAGCTAACTCTAAAGGTAACTATTTACAACATGTTCGTGTTTTAATTAGTTATGTAGGGCACTACAATATGACTACAAATATTTCTTTCCGGCACTAAATAATTTTCTTATTCTGGGCTTCATTCTTATCCCAATAACTTCATCAAATTAAAACACACTGCGATCTCCTCATTATCAAGAATTATTTTTTTTTTTAATTTTTAGAGAAAATCTTTACACTATTTATGTTCCCACTTGGGTTGAATCAAATTTGCAAAATCCTGACATTTCAATGGGTTGTTAGAGCCAAATTTGGTTGAATTTATAAGAAGTAACTCTATATATATCAGAAGTAGCGTATTTATATAAGAATAATATTAGTGGCTAATATAGAAAGACATGACAAACAGCTTTGTCGATAAGAAATAACGGAAGCATTTCATGCAGCCGAGGGATTGAATGTTAATGGCCTATCAAACAAAAGGAAATGTCCATTAGTGCGACAAACAAAATAACGAAGGCCAGCAGCAAACGCAAGAAGGAAACTAGTTCACTAATCTTGGACAATTACAAGTTAAGATTAATTGGGCCGAACTCAGTAGAAAACAATTCCATTTGATACTTTGCAGCTATTTAGATGTTATCAAACAATATTTAACTTTTTTAATCTTATAGGCCTACTCCTGGAAAGTCTTTGTGTTTACAACACCGTTAAAATGTTTTTTTTTTAATGTCCCTCATTCCGATGTTGAAGGTGAGGTGAAGGTAGTACGGTAATACAAATTTTGTATGAAAGTATTTCCATCATATTTCTTCTATAGAACACTCCACAGAATATTTGAACAGCTGTCATTTTTGACTCCATCGTCCGTTTGAGTTTGTTTTTGTGGCATTGCATTTTACTAACGGAGGCCGTTTGATACTAAATTCAACCAATGCTGCTATTTAAGAATTTTGTCTGACTGCTGGTGGACCGTTCCCCAAAGGGCTACCCGGTTGGTAATTGGGCAGATGTGTGCGTTTACCAGTAAGCACGTGGGCACTTTGGTATTTTTTCTATTGTGGTTTAAACATTTTAAAAACATGTTATAGACTTAATTAATTGTCACCCTGAAAACATATAACATATCATAATATCATGTATGTAGCAATAATATCAACGCCCTTAAAATCATGATATGGCGTGATGCATCTACCAACACAACCTTAACGCTATTTTAAAAATCATAACATGTTTAATTCTAAAACTAAATATGTCGAAAAAACAGTAATATTGATTCGTCCACCAAAAACAGTATAGTAAATAAGTAAACGTTCATATAATGACATTTAAGTCGCATTCACAGCCAAACTGTAAAATGATATGATCCATCCATTGATCAAACACAACAAAAAGTGATGTGTTCATCCTAACATCGATTCATAGTAGGTAAAATAGGTCAAGGAAATATTACAAAACTATGCAGCCACTTAATTAAATTAATTTTTAAATAAGTAAATAGGAAGTTTATAAACTATAAAAGTAAGTTCTAAGATGCATGAACACACATTTCCATAACATAAAATATTAAATTTTATACCCTAACAATATGTTACTGATACTTCAACCAGCTCAACCTCAACAAAAGAAGGATTTCAAGATTATTCTGACGTAAGATGAACCCACTAAATAATCATAAGCAATTAATTATTGGGAACTTATATTAAACAGACTGTGTAATCGGGAAAGATTGTTGTTTTCAAACTAGGTCAATATAATGAAAATTCAGTCGTGATTACTTTCAACTATGTTCTAGATTTTTCAGTCGATGTTTAACATGTTTAAATCATAGAAAAACTAATACCACAATTTAATAGCTAAATAAATACTATAAACTAACGTTTACTTTTGAGTTCACTATGGTACATGCAGCTCCATCCATGATTTGCAAAAGGTAAAACTTAAGTACAAAAAAGCTAATAGCATGATTCATTATAGATATGTTTTACACATAGAATACAAACTTATCAATTTCAGAAACAGAAAAATACATGTAAAATTGTATTACAGTTTGCGTTTAGACATTACATGAAAACAAAATTAACATTTACTTATAAATTTCTCATATCTATATTATAAAGGCTCATAAGGCTCTTCGGTCTCATAAGAGAATTATTGGAATATGTCGATAAATTCCTTGGTACATAAGTTATCGAATTTATGTGCAAAATGTCGGCTACTATGGCCCAGCGGTTTGTGCAAGGAAAAAAATGTCATGCCACAAAGGTTGCATCAAACCCTAAACTTCATATTTATTGGCTGAAAAAGTGCTCCCATCACAACAATTTAAAAATCATAGTTCTATAGAATTTTAAAGAATTCATAAAGTGCCTTATAAAGAGAATTATAAAGAATTTACATCAATGTCTATATTCTCCTTAGAAACTGAAAAATGAATTAGTTGTGTCTTTGACACATTCATAGTCTTTAAGGGTCTTTGACACATTCGTGTTTGGAAAAATATATTTTGTAAAAGTTATCTTGTTTGTCATTATCATAGCCTAGCCTAACCAACCCCGCCATGTAAAAGTGTAGAAGCTCTCCTTAAAAACACTTTGAATCCAACCCTTCAATCAACATTCAGTAACAACTATTCGTTCTCAAACAAACCATCCATCTGTATAAAGTCCCATGCAAAGCAAATTCTTGTTTTCTCGTATATAAGGAAAAAGGTTTCAAAACATATTTCGTAGTGTCAACTTTATCTCTCAATTTCCTAAATGTTACCTTCAGTGACCAATACACCAATACTGGTTCCCAATTCATTAGTCTTCAAAAGGACACGTAAAAATGCAAATCCTGATAAATAAGGAAAACATTCCCATCTATTTTTAGTTCCCTTTTCTAAAATTCAGTTTCCTAACTGCCATATGCCTATTTTCGTCCTATGGTCAGTGATAGCTCGGTCCCCTTGACATGGGCCGGTTGTTCATAGTTGCTTCACTATCTCCACTCTTGTCTGAAATGCTGAAACCGGTTGGTCACGTGACCCTCGTGACTGCAACTAGTTGTATTGGTACTTGGTAGTTGCCATTCTACGTCTAGACCTATAATCTATGTATGTGAATGGCTAGATTAACAGTCATACTGTTGTGCATAGGAATGTTGTGATTATTTGCTCTGTACGACCTAAATGACATGATTAAACTGATTAGCAGAAATTTGACAATTTTTTCTGTTCTTGCCAAATCCGTGCAAGAAATAGAAAAATTGCCGAGGCAGGTCAAAAATAACTTGTACTGTACAGCCTTTTAGCCCCTTTGAAAAGCTCATTGCCTAATTTCAAATTAGGTTGGGTTAGGACATCGTAACTTGTAACACATCCTGCATGCCACCTAAGTGAGAAGCTGTGTAAGTCTGATTGGTTACCTTATAATCTGAAGGTACAGCATTTTTACGTTGTACACTTACATAAATATTGTGTACACTTACATAAATACCTCAGGTCGTCTGCAGTTCCGAACCGTTGATTATCTGTGCGCTTCGAATGTCACGTTAGCATCAAACTTCAGGAAACATTATAATAAACTATCCAACCACACGATATCACAAAGAAACGAACACTTTTGCTGTCCACGAAATCCGAATAGCTACTGACACGGGGTTAAACGTAATAAGTTGGGACTTTCAGTGATTTATTGTTTTTGTTATCAGAACGATGGTCAGCTGATAAGAATGAGATAATTCAAAAGTAAATAGCTGTTCTTTGTGATTGGGTTTTTAAAACCCTAGCTTTTGAAACGGTGATCTTCGGCAGCCTAAATTTCAGTTCAACATAATATTGCGGATTATATGGATTGAAATATAGTTCAGGATTGGACATGCCTCTATTGTAAAAGCTCTTAACATTCTAAAACCTTTGTTTCAATGATTGTGTGCTTTTTGTGCTCTGAACATATCAGGGCTTGCAATGGATGGGATGGATTAATTTTTAACTGTTGTATAGAATTTTAATTCACACGTGAAAAAAGACTAATTTACGGATTTTTAAAACTATTTTGTATATACTTAAAGAAACAAATACGAAGTTTCAGTTCATCCAGTGCATAGTTTGGATCTATGTGAATATTTTACAGTTTATTTCAACTCGATAAACACTTTAATAATGCCAGGAGGTTCTTTTTGTAGGACAATTTTTACGTGGTAACCAGCCGGGTGGTGGAACCCTCTTAAGACATTTCACTCATTGCAGATTAATCTTCGGTTTATATATTTGTTAAATACACCTCATTGGCGTTCTCATCTCATAAATTAATGTGATAGCTATGAATGGTAAAAATATCATAAGAAATCGGGAATCAGTAGATTGTTTCCTGAATCTTCCTTAAAATTCGTGAAGTCTTTTAGTTCCTCCTAAGCCTGGTTTTATTAAATTATGGAAATATAGAAAAAAATGCAGTACGGTAGAATGGCAGAGCTTTCCAACTACACATTGCCTTCATGAGACGTTTGTCAACTTCAATAACATTTTCTAGGATATACACTGTTATTAAGATTCTACACTGTAAAGGGGAAACGGAGCGAGTGCCGTTGTTATATTCTTTGCCGCGGGGGTCATAAATTGTTAAAACGATCATGTAGGCCCGAGTGCCGTTTGACTCCCCAGAGCGTAGAGTGATTCAAGGGAGGAGTATTAGTAGAAGGGGGTGTAGTAGGCAGGACCTGGTACAGTTTCTTAACTGGGCTAATATCGATTCCGATTGGTAAAACTTCATTTACTTTTTTCATAATCAGCAAGTTTAGCTAGGTTAGGTTAGGTTATAATAGTTAGTAAGTATTGCTCATCCTGCCCCTCCCATGGTCGATCCACCCCCATACCCGCCGCACCGTGGTCACTGATACCTGGCCGGCACTCTCGCACTCGCCTTTCAACCAACAGGGTTAACATTTGAAATTTGAAAATAATTACATAGTAAAACGTGTGTTTATCAAGCAAATACTTTTTTACATTACCTCTTAACATTATGGTGTGGAAATACCGTATTGCCGTCCATTTATCACTGTAACGTTATCTAACTGATGATCATCTAATGGTTTTATCATCGACAGCTATTTTGTCCGCATCAAAATTCTGCACAAGTCTTTAACCTCATTAGCATAAACATGTTTGACGTCTAGATTGGCTCTATCACTTGCAGATTGGCACGTCCTTAATTGCAAAAGCCAGCCTTTGAGTTGCTGGATGAAGGGGTTTGATATTATAGTGGCTTGCCTGCCTATTACCTCGACGTGGTTAATGAAGAAATGCCACTTCGACATAATTACTAGCTGTTAGACTCGAGTATTTACATTATTCCATAGAGCTTTGTATATTTCTATATTTTGATGCACTCTTTGTAAGGGAACCTTCTAAATTCTGGTCTTGTTACTACGTAACCTCAAACTTGTGTTAGAATCTATCGATATGTGGTAGATGAATGACAAAAGAAATCCGTTTCGGAATCGAACTAGCAGCCTTTTGATTTGGAGACTAACATATACCTAACCTAACCTCAAACTCTTGTTAGAATCTATGTGGTCGATGAATGACAAAATACGTCTTTATCAAGAATGAATCCGTTTCGTAATCGAACTAGCAGCCTTTTGATTTGGAGGCTAACATATACCTAACCTAACCTTAAACTCTTGTTACAATCTATGTGGTCGATGAATGACAAAATACGTCTTTATCAAGAATGAATCCGTTTCGTAATCGAACTAGCAGCCTTTTGATTTGGAGACTAACATATACCTAACCTAACCTTAAACTCTTGTTAGAATCTATGTGGTCGATGAATGACAAAATACGTCTTTATCAAGAATGAATCCGTTTCGTAATCGAACTAGCAGCCTTTTGATTTGGAGGCAAGCCTATGATCACTCGGATACTCAGACATAGGGTTAGACTTTCGTAGAGTATTTCGTACTATATTTTAGTCTTCACGCCAGTTAATGCATTATTTCCTCAAATGTAATTCATAATGGCATTTAAATAAATGCTCCTGTAGGCATTTTTGGTTACCTCCCGCTATCTCCGCGTCCCGCCACCTCCGTGTACCGCCAACTCCGTGTACTGCTACCTCCGAATTTCAGAGTGACCCCTATAATCCTCGGTTACTTCCTGAGTTAAGACTTTCCGTCCAAACCTAACCTAACCTAACTTAATTTAACTTAACCTAACCTAACCTAACCTAACCTAATCTAACCTAACCTAACCTAACCTGACCTAACCTAACCTAACCCACGGGTTAAATTTTCATTAAATCTTCCATCCACGGGGCTTCGCAGCCGTGGATGCAATGACAGCTAACAACGCAGGCAGTGACGGGATTATAAGGGTCACTCAAGAATTCGGAGATGGCGGGACAGATTTGGGTTCGGAGATGGCGGAACGCGGAGATAGTGGGAGCACGGTTGAGTAGTATTTGCGCCGAGTAGTATTTGCGCCGCGTAGCACCAGCGCCGCGCCAGCTAATTAAATGAGGGTTAGCAGTTTTGACAGGTTATCAAAGGCGGAAACAATCAATTGCACTAATAGGATTATTGAGGACTTAGGCTATGTTCCTACCACATTTTACTTTCAGCGTAAAGTGGTTGCATGCAGTCACCTCGTGACCCAATGGTACACATAATTTTAAATCTAATAGGCCTAACTGCAAAATTGATGCCACCAAAAATATCTGCAAATATCGTTCACTGGTTGACAACAAAACACAATACACTCCACCGTTTCAGTATAAGGGCTACCTAAAACCAATTAATTACCAATAACTCAAAAGAGAGGAAATTACGAAAAAAATAGTTTGTTTCTGTACCAGGTTTGGTAGTAATACATCGCGCTTCGTGAAGCCTGGGAGTTGAGACAGGCCTTATATAAATTTAAGTTTATCTTAAGTCTAGAAATACAAGTACATATTAAGTTTACAAAATAACTCTCTAAAACGTGTAGTGGCAATACCACAAAGATACCCCACTTTAGGCGTTTTTTTTTCATAAAAATAACATGGGGATCATTTTTTAGCCACTAATTCCAAAAATCCTGATTTTTGCCTACATATCCCTACATATAATCCTCATATACTACATTCGAAATCAAGCTAAAAAAGCTAATTCTTTCATTTATTGACCCATTAAATGTAAAGTAGGTATAAAATAATAATATGACCTCACTTTAGGCACTTTTCCCCAATAGAATAACATGGGTGAGTTGTTTAGCCATTTTCTAAAAACCCTGCTTTCGGCCTATACAAGCCCATGCAAATGTTCAATACTATTGTACAACTCAATAAACATTACAAATCCCCATCCATTCCCACGAATATTTTAAAAATCATCAACTTGACAGTGCGAGGTTTGCACGTGAACTCGGGCGCGCTTCCAGCCTATGCTTATCGCTTCTCGTGCGATTTTGATTAAATTTGGCATGAATGTGTAAGGTTGAATCACCTTGATTAAGTTTACGAACCACCGATATCGGAATGAAACCTGTTGTTATTTACCTACACGTATAGGTATAATATAAATAAATTTACGATACTTACGTCTTCTGTACCATAATGTTTTAAATTCGCAAAAAATTGATGTTTTTAGCGAATTCCCTATAGTGAAGTAGCTATTACCGTATGTGGCACCGTAAGACTTGAGAAAATTGAGACCGTAAGAAAATTGAGCCCTTCTTTGTGGATTCTACGATGTTCATTCTGCTAAATTCTACTCGAAATTGACAATGACAACACCATTGAGTGACCAAAGGTAATATAAGGGAGTGGGTTACTACGAAAGGTATGGGGATATATACCCCTCGCTAGCAAATCCCCCTAATACCAATATGCCGAGCTGTTTGCATTCCTCATAGCACCGCAGACTATCCTGGTGCAACTATTTTCTAAAAACATCATAGGAAAACAAAAGTCCCCCTTTCTCCTAAATTAGTAAGGTGATAAGTATAAAATGTCTACTGGTTATAATAATTAAGTTCAGGAAAAATATCTATACTAACTCAATACCGCATGTGGTGGTATTTTCATTTCATTTTCATTTTTTATGTGCAATAGTGCACTACTAGTACAATTATTAGGAGTATGGAAAACGACACTATTTACAAGCAACTCAGTCAAGTAATGTGTAAGTAATTATGACCCTCGTCACTTCTGCTTCATTGAACTAATCAAACTCCGCGGCGCTGGAAGCACGATTTAATCCGCGGCGCAAATGCTACTCGGCGCAACTGCTACTACACGTGGGAGCACACGGCATTTTTACCATGGAGGAACAAGGGGTTTTAGGATGTCTGAAGCACGAATTCTCCCTTAATAGAAAGCATTATTATTATGGTATGTATTTAATGTGGTTTCATAATTATGAACGTACACAAATTACATTCTCTTTTTTGACGCAATGTGCTTTATGAAACCTCCATAGCATTATAGAGCTTTTTGCAAGGAGGGCATTACTTATGTGGTCCTCCCTTAGTCCCACATTGGTCCGGGATTCATTGCAACGTATTGTGTAAACTATTTGTTTGTTTGCTGCATGACATTGGTCTTGGAATTATTAAGTGATCCATCGTACGACCAAATGACAATAGG